AATCACTTAATATTTTTCGTACAAACCTCAAACATAAAGCGATAAAATTTACTTTTAAAAAAATAAAATAGTTATAGGGATGTTACTGGATTGTGCGGTGTTTTCATTACTTTTAAGGGAACAAGGGTCGTTTGATTGGCGAGTGGAAAGCGCGTGCCCCCGCACAGAGATCAGCTCGAATATTGAGAGGGCGAGGGAGATGAAGCCGAGCTAAAATCGGATCACACGTTCGGGTGCGGCTGCGGCGCGGTGGGCGCGGGCCTGCACTCGCGTTATTTCACTGAAATCAACTTATCCAGGCAAATTCAATTTCAATGGCCCTAAGTAAACTTTTATCGGTATCAATTCCCGCTATGATCGCTAACGGCAATTCGAAGTAGTATCCTTTCTACGAATCACTTGGTAGCATTTTCGATTTTTAAGGAATTTAACATTTTTATTGACATCGTAAGGTAACTATTTATTTTTATTCCATTCCGCAAATTTTGCGAGGTTATAACAATGTCAACACTCGGATGCGTGATGATGATAACAGCTCGCCGGTGCTAGAAATCGAAAAACTTCATTCGGCCTATCGGCCAACACCCGCAAAATGCTATAAAGGGGCTCAAAACTACATAGCATCAATGCTGCACAATTCGCTCGGATTGAGATTTAGAATAAGGACATCGGCAAAAAGTTTGAGAAGACACACTGACGTAATACATATAGGAAGATTAGATACATATATAATATATTTATGTATATCGATCGGTAGACACAAATTCCATTTTCATCTGCGTGTAAAAAAATGGATTCGGCACAATTCTAAGACATATCTCAATAGCGGAATAAGATATAGAAAAAATAGAAATCCTCGTAAGTCCGCGGCGCCTGGGGAACGGTTAACCCACGTTACCCGCCGCTACTCCCGGCGGACGATTGCGAATTTCCACAAAGAAAATAGCAATCAAAATTTGATTTACCGCCACCCGCGGCCATACATCAAACCGCTCTAATCCGTGAAGAGAGAGAAGGCCTAAATCTAAGGGGATACGGCGTCGCTGTCGAATTGAAAATCCTAGTGGCACGAGTCGCCTTTAATATTTATAGCCGAATAAAACTACACGCGATACTATGAATAAATACAGAGCGTGGTACTTTGCCCGGCTTTACGGATGCCCGCCGGGCAAACAGTCACTTGCTTCTTTCGTCCTGTGCGTATACGATATCCATTTTGTACGACATACTTCCATAGCAATGAGGAAGAATAGTAAGAGTTTTGAAAATTTAAAAGTGTTAAAATTTATTTTGCAGAAGAATTATTAGAGAAACTACAAGTTATAGGTGAGTCACCGTCGGCCCCTCGCCCGACGCAGCGGCAACTATCTTTGCAAAATATGTATTATATGGCCGGCCGCCACTCAATATTCAGTGGCATATAAAACCGAATTGGACTTTTTGATCAACCACCGAATATTCAGTGAGGCCGCAGTCTTACCTATAAATATATAATGAATGTCGGCAACAGGGTGCTTTGCTACCGGCTCGCAGCCATCGGTACTACCAATCGCCACATACATTTTTTACTTATTAATTCGGCTTTTTTGACTTTTGTCGTTAATTATTTGATATATTTTGTTGGTCCATTGCTGGTCATCTATCTTGGCACGACACTATACATAGTGCACTTTAACCGCATCAAGTCATTTAAAATGTGCCTATAATATTAAGAAGCAAATCAAATAAGAAACGATTAATATCGTTGAAAAAAGTTCAGTGTAGATATTGATTTAACAACTTTTTGAGAGACGACAAAGGATGACGGTGATACTGTAACTGCGTGTTATAATGGTAAAAATATCTTTCAATATCTAATGTAACAAAAATCTTTAACTAATTATTTTTCTAGTGTCAATGTTAAGAATATATGGCAACATAATGATTTCTAGTAATAAACAAAACTGGAATCTCCCTTAGAATTGGAATAGCAACTTTGCATCGTGATCGATCTGCGGAGGGTCGGTCAGGGAGGTCCGTGAGGAATGTGACATTAGGGAGTTTGCATGGGGTCACCGTAAGCCGTTTCCGATAAGCGCGGCGCGGCGGCGGCGTCTCGGACGCGCACTGCACGCGTCCTGAATAATGCATCGCCGCCTCCCGCACCCCAAATTGAAATTATTTTTCTATAACTCCGTAATGACTGCCTGCTCGGCGATCGGCAAAATATAATGCCGATTCTACTTCTTAAAAAAATAATACTATAAATCAATTTAGTTGTCTATTATTTACAAAGTTATTATTAGTCTAAAAATAGAATACAAATAGAAGAATAGAATATAATAAATAAGAAAGGAAATCAAGAGTCGAATGACAGACTTGATTAGATGAGCGAGCCATCGGACAAGTTACTGGATGTAGTGTAATGGAACTCTTCACTTGAATCATAGTCAATGGCGCAGCTGTATATGTTATTGTTTAACCTTTGCATTAGATCAGTTTAGTATTATAATGATTCACAGTTAGCAAAAACTTAATTAACTATATAATTCCACTTTGATAGGAACATGTTTACAAAGAAATTAATAATATTATCTAAATTCCTGGTTTAATGAGATTGTTGTAAATCTTACAAAATGACAATGTTTAGTTGTAAGTTTACGATCGGGGCGGGAATTTGTAATGTAATCGGTTCGGGCGGCGGGCACCTGCACCGCCCGCAATCGATTAGGGCGCGCAAAAAGCCCTCACGCCGTCGCCAGATTGAGATCTCTTCTGGGCGCGCGTCTCCACATGATAAATAATGGCTCCCCACTTTTTACACGTCGAGGGTGTCACGCAAAAAAAAAATGAATAAGGAAATTTACCTAATGGCTGCGATTCTTTACAGTCCGTCTTCTTTGTCAGAGAACAATAACGTAATGGAGGGATGACGTGCGTCCTCGACGTCGCCCGTCTGACCCATTGTCTCGGCTTTCGTATGCTACGTTGAAATTCAATGTTCTTTTCGTATAGGGCATACACACTACCTATTTCTTGGAGAATTCTGGTAATACAATTGTGCTTTTAGGTGCTCCTCTCAATTGCTGCGCAATGGTTATCCCGTGCCTACCATAAACTTTCGCTTCCGAAACACCAGTTATTAGTGCAATTGCAATCCTTCGATTGTAAGTACAAAATGATTTATTCATTCCTATTCTTCCATGATTTGAAAATGTTACGTATTTTTGTATTACAATAAGTATTGTTTTTTAAATTACAATACATAAACATATAATAATTTAAATTAAAAGATTTTATTATTTGCAAATTCTAGATAAGGTCAAAGACTACTAAACTGATTTATTTTTTTAGTGAGTTACCTATTTTCCCACTAAATACTATATTGTTTACAAATAGATATTGTAACAACATAAACAATTGAATTACATATTCCAAATTACAAACTGCTTATTAACACTTTAAATCAAAGTGGTTAGGATAAAACAATGGACATAAGTAATATCCAGACCTGTGCTTACATTCTTTATATCTCATCTCAAAACCATAATCATGCATTGTGAAACTGTTTACATTCTGAAAAAATAAAACATAACTTACTTATAACTAATACTCATACTCACCAATAAGATAACATCCAACAAATTGCAATCCAATTCTGCAGCGACATCACTAAAGCACCATTTACATTTTTACACAATGTGCAAAGAGATTTGGAAAACCATTTTCTAAAATTATCCATCTGTTAGCAACAATTGTATGAATAAAGCAGACAGGTTACTGCAGCAAAATATCAAAGGGCACTGCCGCAGTCGGAGATGTTGGCTCCCACCGAACAGGGAACGGGTCTTCTCCGGACGAATAAAATCAAAAACTCTCAGGACCTGCCTTGCTATTGGATAACAAACCCCATACCCTTTTGCGCCTGTGCTAAAAAACGAAAGGGTTAGAAAAGTCACCCCTTTTTTAAACACCCCAATGTTTTGCATCCCTTTCTTTAACTTCAAGACCCTTTCATTTTTACCATTTTTATGACAAAGTACTTTAAAAATAACAAGACATAAATAAAACCACAATTTCTTTTCTTTATTGTACTGTGAAAATATTCAATTAATAAGTTGTTAACACCTATAATTGCCTGTCTATTTGAATTGATTTAATACTTATATAGATGAAATGCTTTATGTCATTTGCATAGAACCTTACCAACACAGTGAAATTACTTAGGCTAAGGTTATGTTGACGATTGTTAATTGGCAATATTAATTCGTTATTTTAGTTTTATGTCAGCCTTGTAGAATTAGCTGTTAGGAAGGGTATGTACAAATAGACATAACAATAATTTATATAAGGAATATCTATTACATGCTTTAATGTTAATTATATTGAATAATACTTCGTAACTATATAACTTAAACTCTATTAAGATTATAAACAAAATTAATAATTATTTCTCCCGCGCTAAATTTGTGACATTGACATTGATTTGAGAGGTTGTTGTTGTTTTTATTATTCACTCGAAAGAGCAGGCAAAGGAACTAAGCCATACAGCCTTGTCTTTTTTATTTTGAATATAGAGAATTTTATAATGTATAGGCCGCAGCCAAGTCTTATTTTTTCTATTGTTTTTTTTCTGATTTCAGAGGAATTTGAAAGGTGTAAAAACAAATGTCATAAATGTTCCATTATACGCATTTATCTGAAATTTGGCAATTTCCGTAAATTTATATTTTCATGTCGAAAAACAATAAAGCTTAAAAGTCTTAAATCTTAAATCAACCAACACAATTAGATTATGCAACAGGATGTTTCCTTTCGAACTGAACTTAGATTATTTTTGACGCCTGTCCAAACAACTCTTTTTAACCCAAATAACATAAATCGATAGTTCTTAATAATTTTCCTACTACAATAATTTTTACTTGTCGCAATTTCTTTTAAAATATTTGAAGTTGGAATAATCTGCCTGATGATGCATAATTCTAATCGGTATCAAAGAGTATATAAAATATCTTTGTCTTTGCTGTGTTGTCAACCAACTACGACCTAAAGGTCTATATTACCAGGACATAAAATAAAAATAAAAATGTCAACCAGCTGTCATGTGTCCAGTGCTTCTGCCCATGCGAATTGTTTTTAATTAGCGTGAAATCTTTCATAATCAATGCTAATTTTATAAATTACATAAATATTGAATACAACACATTAGTTTTAAATTTAATTCTACAATAATTAGAAACAGCCATTATGACATTATATCATTTCGGAAACTGTCTCGCGTTGGTGTATGCGCCATATCATATGGCTTACAAGTTTTCGGGAATGTAAGCACTTATTAATTAAGTTAATGTTTTGAAATATGGTGTAACAGAACTAACTATATTTATAAAATGTGATTTTTTTTCAGATCAGAATATGCTACGTTTTCAAAATGTGTATATGCTGGGGGTTTGTACATATTCACACAATTGTGTAAAATGTTACTACTCGCCACATTTTTCCCAGATTCTGACAGTCAAATTAATGGAGAATACGATGTTTTTCTTGTAAGTAAAAAAAAATGCACTCTCACGCCTTATATTTACAGCTTAAATCTTACAGTTCACAGTGCATCTGTTGTCTCGGACTTTAACATGATCTGAACATGAGCAAAGAATTGATTCGCTAATATAATCTAATTTCAGTTTTGTTTAGTAAGAGCACTTTAAATTAAAGAATAAGTATATTTAACAAATAGCCATATTTTGAAAATAACCCATGAAGATTCAAACTTTTTATGATTAATTTTATCAAAAACTGAACCTCTACAATGAAATTTTTTGAATGAAATAGATTTATGCACTTCTTTCTCACATTGATGTTAACTGTATCAACATTCACATTTATTTGATTGCATTATTAACTAATAATACTTTAAGAATGATATGAAGTTTTAATTTTATGTATTAATATAATGATAAACATATGCAGGAGATCCTCAAGGCTACTGTCGACTTTGCAGACCTGTTGGGCCTGTATTTTGCTCTGAACTCGGTGCCCGGCAAGGGACATGCAAAGATCCTGACATCTGCTATCGGTTGGGCAAGTGCAGAGGTGAGACATAATTGCGCATCTATAATACATAATAATTCATACAAAATATGAACCAGTCAAAGAAAAACTAAGTAAGTTTAGAACTTATATGACCTGTGAAATGTAAATACATTGGAGTGGACAAAATATCTCTAACAAATAAAAACAATATATCAAAGAAGGATCTCAAATATTTTCTAATATTTTTTTTAAATTACAAAACACATTATAAGCAGTTTTATAACAAGCTGAATGAGCTTTGTATTAAATACAATTATTACCATCGCTAATGAGTAATTATTGATGATGATGAGAGAGAATTAGTATAGAGAAATGGATATGTTGTGCGAGGTGGTGGTGAGCCGCAGCGTGCTGCTGTGGGTGGGCGCGCGGGGCTCGGAGTTCGACTGGCGCTACGTTCGGTCGTGCGCGGAGGCGAACGTGGCGCTGGTGCAGCACGCGGGGAGCGCGGCGCTCGTGTGGCTGTGGTCCCGCAGCGACCTGCCGCGCGCGCACGCCCCGCTGGTGCTGTGGCTGCTGGCGCTGACGCCGTACCGGCCGCTGCTGGAGGAGGCGGTGGCGGCCGTGCTGTCCCTCAGCGCGTGGTCGCTGCTGGCGGTGCGCGCGCTGCACGCCTCGGCCGTCGCGCTCACGGCATTAGCTATGTATGCTATCTTGTCGCAACAAATTGCTCTTTAAATAATTGTACGTAAAAATACATTTTAGATATTGTGTACAGATGATGATGATGAGATGTAGTGTATGCAACTTTTATTTATTACTTAATGTATTTAAATGCATCTGATAAAATATTGTATTTGCATTTATATTATTTGTTTCATTACAATTCATCTATAGAAATAGTTACTTATATGTATTTCATTATTACTCCATAAGTTACATGCTTTATGATTTGATGGTTTCACTTTTTAAATAATAGGGGCCCAAAAAAGCAGTGCTTAATTTTTAAATTTTGTTAATTTTTGAACCTCTACACTTATAAAACCTACCATAAATAAAAAAAATATTGTGAACACCTCGTGCTGTTGCCGGCTTGAAATTCTAATATTATTTAATTTAAACAATCTGGTACATGTATATAACTTATGGCAACAAATAATCGAACCTTTACTCACAGATGTGCAAGAAGCTAATTTGATGCCTACTTAAAGCCTCTCAAGCTTCAGGGATTAGAAGATCATAATCATCAAACTGTCCATAACCCTATGGAGGGCCGGCACAGTATTAACTACTCTTCCAAACATTGCTAATAAAAAAAGATAATAAGATGATAGAATAAAGGTAGGTTAATGGCAGTGCACCGTGAACTCTACAACATAGAGGCCAAGTTCTATGTACAGGCCCGATAAGAGAACAGATTCAGGTTTACTTCGTAAATTGTTGTAAACTGTTAGGTACATTTAGTTCTGTCATGAAAAATGTAAAACCTGCATGGGCCTAAAATCTTACTATTATATGTGCGAATAATTGGATGTATGGATGGATGTTTGTTTGAAGGTATCTCCAAAACGGCTGAACGGATCGCGATCAAATTTGGCATAGATGTAGAATACCGTCTGGAAGAAGACATAGGCTTATAATAAAGTTTTTTTTAAATTTTACGTACCTATTTTGTAAAAGAAAAGCTTAACAAGACGGAGCGGGGAAAGTACATTGTGATACGTTTTTTCTATTGATAGGAGGGCGCTAGTGTGCTATCAGAATTTAGTTTGAACATCATGTAGGTATATCATTTCGTATACCTAACTTGGGTTTATATCTTTTTTGACAGAACCATAAAACCGCGATTATTTATTAGAAATCGTTTGTGTCTAATTATTTTTTTAAGTTTAGTTTATTATAAGTCAAATGTCATTATGTCATATTCTTTGGGCCTAAAATTTGACATTTTTAATCTTTATTTTTCTGTATTGTTGTTTTATATACTCTTTGGTTTTTGAAGTATTTATTTATTTCTTCGACAAGGTTGAAGCTTAGTTTTGTTCGTATTCTGGTAAATATTGCTATCGTAATATGTTTGCGACTCAACACACATGAATATCCATTGTAAGTTTTCTAGTGATTCAACCAACATATTTAAATTACTTACCTATTGGGATTTCTGAAGCTTCAAAGTGGTGAAAAGTTGTCCAGTTTAGCTTGAAATTTTATTGATTGGCGGAGTAACAGGATTACGAATTATTTGTTATTGAAACAATAATATAGAAGTTTTCCCTTTTGATAAGTTGATAACCCCGTCGTTCTGTTTAGTGTGATAACATTACAACTGCAAGTTTATAGTAATGGCAGTAAACTGTTAATGTTAACTGAAGACGTAAAAACTCGTTATGTTGTGCCTAGCGTATTTAGCGTGCATTATTTTAATTTGCGTGAATGCCGAACATATAGTAAGATGTAACAATGAAACAAATCCAAAAAGTACGAATTCTGTAACGTTGGTGCCTTCTCCTGACCATGTCGGGGGTCGATACGTGATGGAATGGTGCACGAAAGGAGACAAGAACATAACTAAATGGGAGTTGTACATCTACTACAATACGACAAAGAAGCCCGATCAATGTAGGCACTATAATTTTACATATGATAAAACATTTAAGCCTCACTCACATGTTGAGGAAAATATGAATATAGATTTAAATTGTTCAAATGTAAGTATAAATAATCTGTCTTTTCTATTTCATATTTCTAGATTTTATATCAGAATAAGAGGCGCACTTTTAGACCCCCAATGTGTAATAGCACCATATAACAACAAAATATAGCTTGAAACTTAGTATTACTGCAATGCATGCAAGAATAAATCAATATGTGTTTAGGAATAGGATGCATTGAAAAGGAAAATATTCTCTTTCTGTGAATCCCCTCCTCTTTTGATGAAAGGTAGGTAACGCATATGGAAGTGCATATGTGATATGTGCGTAGGGCTATGGTCTCTTTGCTATTTCAGCTGACCTTTCACTTGTTTCCTCTTTATGATAGAAAAGAAATATGCTTTGTGTTGTAATCATATTCTAATGAACTGTAAATGAATCCACAGGTCTGTTTTTCAACATTAATAGATTTAATATTTGAATCGTGCTACCACATTAAGAACCAACTACATAAGCAAAAGCACAAAATGCAGAGCTATGACCAGTTGATATACATCACAAATAACTTCACAAATGTTACTATTCTGCAATATAGCATACCCGTTGCCAAATCATCCAATTCTGAGTGAGTATGGAACAGCATTGTTTATATGTTGTGCAATTATGGACAATTAATCAGTAGAACTCCATTTTTGGAACACTATTATTAGTGCAAACATAAATCAACTCTTAATTATTCTATGAATATGTAAATAATCCACTAAATTTATGTTTCTGCAACCTGAATTCTGTTTAAAACATATTTTTATCTCGGTTTTGTCTAAGATCATGATAGAGATGTTTTATGCACAGATTTTGATATGAGGAACCCATGTGGAGTTAACAATTAATTAAATTAGATAATCATGTATGTTATTTATAACTTTATGTTATAAATACAAGTTGATATTGAATTAGTTTAAAACAAAATTATAATTGTGTGAGAAGAAAACAGCAATGATTTGATTGTGTTGAATGTGCATCAATTGCAGGGATTATGTGACGGTGCAGTGGTTCATGGGCCCCGTGCCCGCTGCCCGCTACGAAATGAAGTTGTCAGAGGTAACAATCATGCACTCTATGTGTACAAACACCTGAATAATAACACTTTTTGTGCTTTTATATTGACTTGTAATTCCATTATTTAGTAATGTACATGAATACAATGGATGTACATTTTGTGCAAAACAATTTGTACATCTCTAAATTTAAGACAAGTACAATATATAAGAAATCTACTTTAAACAAATTTACTTTTTAATTTTATTTATTGATCTAAATTGGACTATCAAGTTGTTCTATTTGTCAAATCAAATCTTATCAACATATTGAGGGGATAGGAAAAATGTGTGAAACCAAGTATGTAATGCCACTAAGCAAGGGAAAGTGTCACTGGAACGTCTGCCACATCCACTCTACTCCTTTATCCTTTATCCAACAGATTACCCTTAACAAAAAATATGATTGTGGCAGTGGAGACCACCTTCATATAGTTTTGTTGATTCTTGTCCATTTGTTTTATTGTATAATATTAAAAATATCGAGCTTCCAATAACATGGCAAAAGTGTAGAGTTAATAATAGTATTTACTTTGATGAATATGTTGATATGTAACCATAACTAAACCCCCAAATAATATAACACGCATACAAAACTACAATTTCTTATATAAGGATATAATATAAACAAAATACGTGCTTATTCTAGGAATTGAATTATATTGCATTTTGAAATTCTGCCATTGTACACTTACGGTTTAACTTATTTTTGTCTTATGGAAAATAACTGAAAACCAGCCGGTGATTGGTCCGCGAGTCTTACTTCCTAAAGCATTAAGTTAGTTGTTATGCAAGAAAACTCTCCAATTAGACTCACTTAAAACATAACTCAGTCAGATTTAGACAAGTCTGTGTGACCGGAATGTTTACGAGCGCATCACATGATAACCTCTGTCTAATTTATTTACATCATTATTCCAAGGCGAAATAAAATTCCTTATAAGAGAAAAGTTGAAGTGAATTGTGTCTCCAGAGGTTTGCTGTTCTGTCTGCACATAACACTTATTATTAAATACAACTTTTTTATGATGTAGTGAAGTAAAAAAAGCAATGAGCATGCACATGTTAGCAGCAGGGTGGGGCGGGGGAGCCGTGGGACGTGACGGAGAACTGCACGAGCGCGGTGCACACGGTGACGTGCCGGCTGCGCGTGCCGCCCGGCGCCTACACCCTCGTGTTCGAGCTCAAGGAGCCCTGGATGTACGGCAGCGTAGCCGTGGACACGGCCTCCAAGGATTTCAGTGAGTGGCATACTGTATACATACGTAGTCGCCGGTACGAGATCTATCACCGCATCAAATATATAGCGGTCACCGACACTGACTCCGACACCGACTCCGACACCGACGCCGACACGGCACAACATATAACTTTCACCTTTTCTCTTTCTCGAATTCTCGCCCAATCACTAATTTGTAGATTCCTCTATTTTGATGTAATTTTAATAGAACCGTTGATGTTAATTGCAGACCGCACGGTGACGGAGGTGGGGGTGGGTGTGGGGGTGGGG